GTATTTAGTTGACAAATAAAAAGTGAGGGTTTTTTTTGAATAACCATTCATACAATTTTATGAATAAATTTTAAATGGGTTGATTTACAATAGAGAAGCTTTTTCCATCTAGTTCTTTTTTAGAATGTTTTTCTTTGAATCCTTTTTCAGATCCTTGGTAGAATTTTTCCAGATTTAATCAGAGTAAGAACAATTAAGACTAACATTTTTCGGTAAAGTTCTCTGTTCATGGTGACCTTGTCTTACTCTTCATAGCTAAAAAATACTTTGGAATATTTAGATGGTAGCTGACTGACATACTAAGACTTGTACAGTTTTGGCCTTCACGGAGCTTTGTAGAGTATATGTGACAGTGGACTAGCACCTGCATTCACTCTCTCATAGAAGCACACAGACATGGGCACAAATGACATTTCAGTAGAGTAGGGATTTGTGTGGAATAGGATATCTTGAGATAATATATGGTGTCTATAGTTGCAATGTAAAAATTTTTTTTTCCCAAAATTTTATTGATAAACAGCAATGTGACAGTTTCAAATCAAATCGGAAGTACAGTTTCAACAAATAACACACTGCATATATTCTTCTTAGTGGTTAATTGCTGTACAAGATGTGGACTTGAGATCCTATTTACAAACACCATTAGAACAAATCATTCTATTCATTAAGAGAATGCAACTATATATCTATCCTAACCACTTTGAATACACAGATACGAAATGGACATTCATCTGTATACCCTATTTTTTCTAAGTTCCGTTATTGAATATTATAGGTGGCAATGTAAAAATTAATAAAACATTAAAGAGCTAGGTCTGAATGAAGGGAATTAAGGTTAATTTCTTGTAAAATAGGCAAGGGAATTGAGTCTAGAGAGCTTTCCAAAGGACTGAGAATGTGGTTTCTAGTACTGGCACTTACCTCTCCCAGTTGTTGCTCAGTGTCCTCCCTGTCAAGGATATACAGCCTGCTATTTTGCTGTATAGTTGGGTCATTTCTCCTTTCCTTATGTATGGGTACCTTCTGTTTCCATTCTTAGTTTTAGCAAGACAAAGGAATTGTCTTGCTTGTCACATTTTTCCCAAGTGGTCAGAATAGGAAGACCCTGGCTAAGGTGTAGTGTGGCACATGGCTGTACTTCTAGCACTCTAGGAGGCTGAGGCAGGAGGAGGCAAGAGGATCACAGTTCAAGCCCTGGAGAATTTAGTGACCCAGTGAGATCCTCTCAGAATAAAAAAGACTTGGTATGTAGCTCAATGTAAAGCTCCTGGGTTCAATATCTAGCACACCCCCTACCCCACAAAGAGAGCATTACTTTCAGCTGTAAGGTATTGAGGAAGGTAGTGGTTGCTAAAGAGGAACAGGAGGTCTAGGAGCTGATGGGTATTTATTTGTAGAGGAATGAGAATATAGTAAGTTAATATTAGGGTCTGTTTCTGGGAAGGAAGGCATTTATATGAGGTATGATCAAAAGCTGCAGTGAATGTTTAAATTTTTAAAAATGTACTAAAGTACAAGGACCAGGGATTGATCCCCAGTGTGCTGTGCTGGCCCCACCCTCAGATATGCTGAGACAGCAAACGAGACTGGGTGTGGTGGCTCCTGCCTGTAATCCCAGTGCTTGGGAGGCTGAAAACGAGGATCACTATGAATCCGATCTATGTAGTTAGGCCTTTTAGGCCCCATACTAAATACAAAAAAAGAAATAAAATAAAATGTTACAGCAAAAGACATGTTGCTGTTAATGCTGCTCAAAATATTGCCCTCTCTCTGGAGATTTCTTGTTCCATTGTTTTTGCATTTCCTGAAACAGTTCTGGAAAGTCCTCTTTCATGAGTATGTTCAGCTATACTCTCTGGATACCTTAATGTCCTGAGTGAATTAAAAAGATATACCTTTCATGATCATTTTTACTTTGGGGAAGAGCTAGAAGTCAGTGTGCCAAATCTAGTGGTTATAAGGACATCCTGTAATGTTCTTACAAGCTTGTCTTTTTTTTTTTTTTTTTTTTTTCTTTTGGGGTGGGAGACAGGGTCTGACTGCGCAGTTCAGGCTACCTTGAGCTCACTTTGTAGCCCAGGCTGACCTCAAACTTGCTGTAGTTCTACTGACTGAGCCTCCCAATTGCTGAGATTACAGGTATGCTATGAAACCATATTTTAAGATAGAATTTATAGAAATGTGTCAAGGCATATAAATTTAAAATTTTGTTGGCTGTTATGGGAAACCCTTCCAAAGCTTTGCATCTTGTTCCTTTACTATACAATAGAGATATAGTAATGATCTATAGTATAGTAATGTGGGTAATGATCTCGTAGTGATAATAAAAACCTAGCACTTACCATGCACTTGTTCTGTGCCAGTAATAGTCTAATTGTTTCATGTATGCTCTTACTTAATCTGCCCAATTCTCTTATTAGGTATATTCTGTTGTCATCACCCATTTTAGGATTTATATTCACAATAGCTCATCTAAAGCATTGATGGGGCATGGCTGTATTGTGGGAAACTGCAGCTCTTCCAAATAATTGGCTTCTTAGATTCTGAATAATTCTTTTACATATATGTATATTTTAACATATTTTGAATAGTAATATTACAAGTATTACCATAAAGTGTCTTGCAGAGAGTTTTGGTTAAATTCAAGTGATAAAACTAAAACTTGAAGCTAGGCTTGTTTGCTTGCTTCCTTCCGTACATCCATCCATCCATCCATCCATCCATCGATCCATCCGTTTGTCCATCCGTTCGTCCATCTGTCCATCCATCTATCGATCCATCCATCCGTCCTTCTTTCCTTCCCCCCTCCTATCTCCATTGTTCATCTTCCCATTTGAACGTTTTCTTCCTGTTTCACGGTATCTAGGATATATTCTGCTCCTCATTTACTCACACCAGAGAAACAGTGGGGGTATTCAGGTTTGTTTCACTTAAGAGTATGGTCTTAAGGTGCATCCATTTAGCTAGAAATGCCTCAAGCTTACCCATCTTTGTGGCAGAATACTAATCCATTGTATAAAAAAAAAACATGTTTATTGATTTATCAGCTGATGGGCTTGTGGGCTGTTTCCAAGACTTAGCTATTTCATACTGTAAACATGGGTGTGCATGCATTGGACAGTCTCCTATTTTTACTTCATTCCCTCACTTTTTCTTTTCCTGCAGAATTTCAGAGCAGTTCCTAAGTACCATGTCATTTCACTCACACTACAGAATGTATGGTGTTGGGCACTTTGTTTTAGGTACACCATATTTCCTGTGAAGGCTAAATTCAGTCTTAGGACTTGATTAGATTGGGGTCAGGTAGCAGGGAGTTGATGCTTTTATGTCTTCTGCCTTGCCCAGTATTGAGGTGGACCAGATCATGAAGAGAGAGCACTGCTGACTTCTCTAGCCAGCTTCCCTACAGCAGTCCTGTGTGGCTCTTAGCAGCTATTTTTGCTGTTCACTGGGTTCATCATCAGAGGTTATAAGATACTGAATTTTCTCCTTGTAGTATTGAGGACTGAGCCTAGTGTCTTTATAATGAACTAAAGCCTTAGCCTTTAACTTTTTAAATTTTGAGACAGAGTCTTGCTCAGGTGCCCAATTGCCCTAGCTGGGTTGGAACTTAGTGTCCTTTTGCTTGCTCCTTCCAGCTACTGGGGTAGCAGGCTTGTGTCACTGTTGTTTTTACTGATTTTTATCCCCCTTTCCCGTTCTGAGGCAGGGTCTCACTGTGTAACCCAGCTGGCCCTGACCTCATGCCTCAGCCTCTTAAGTGCTGGAATTTCAAAAAATACTGATTTTTAAAGTTCTGTCATTCTGCTTACAGTTTTTACTTGAGGTTCTTCTTTAAGGAAGAAGTCTTTCTTAAGCAGGGAATTGGTTATTCTGGGGTACAATCCATACGAAAAGGGAAGCTGAAGTAAGATGTGTTGGCGCTGGCCTATAATCCCAGGGGGATCGTTGTTGTAAGTTTAAGACCAACCTGAGCTACAAAGTGAGCTCAAGCCTGAACTATCTAGCAAGATTCTGTCTCAGAAAGATAAAGAGAAAGAAAAGGAAGAGTAATTTTGATTGTTTCTCCCCTTACTGCTTCTCAGAGTGAGGCGGTACTCTGGTAGCATCCACACAGGTGCTTTTCCTTTTCTAGTACTATTACTCACCCATGGACTTAACCACTGAACTGATTGCCCTGGTGCTGTGGTGTCTGTTTATGTGCTAGCTGGCAAGAGTACAGCTAGGCAGGCAGCATTTCCAGCAGCCCATTGGTTGTTTTTCTTTTCTTTTTGAGAGGATTTCAACTTGTAGTGATCCTCCTGCCTCAGCCTCCTGAAAGCTGGGATTATGCCAGTCTCAACCAGTCAGTTCTTGAATTAATTTGCTAAAGTTTTTTTTTTTTATATATTGTAAAAATTAATGAGACAAATACACCATTTTTGGTCATCCTATATTTAAATAATTGGACTGGCAAGTGGTTAACGCACTGAATATATTACAGTCATTTTGATGCTCAGATGGTTTTGTCCAAGCAATCCTGTATACATACATAAATATACCTTTTTCCTTTCCTTCATCCCAGTTTTTCCTTCGCACTGAACAGATTCTTTCCTTTTCACAGTATCTGTTGTACCTTTTGGATTTTATTTACTCTTTCTGGCATGTGGTGCTGGGGGATTGAACCGCAGTCCCTGTGCTTTGCTAAACTTGTTCTAAGTAGGTGCTTTTAGACTACTGAGCCATCTTACCAGCCCTCTTTTCAGGTTCTTATACTAGTGAGACAACATGATGTTGGCACATGTGGGTCTCATTTAAAAATATGGAATGCTTCGTGAATTTGTGTGTCATCTTTGCGTAGAGGCCACACTAATCTTCTCTGTATTGTTCCAGTTTTAGTATATGTACTGCCAAAGTGAGCACCTTATCATTTTTTTATTCTTCCTCTTCCTTGTCCTCCTCCTTCTCCTTTTTTGATGTTTTTTTAGACAAGGTCTTGCTGTGCAGTTCAGGCAGCTTACTTTGTACCCCAGGTTGGTCTCAAACTTACAAAGATCCTCCTGCCTCAGCCTCCCAAGTGCTGGAGTTACAAGCATGCACCACCATGCCCAGTTTTTTATTCCTATTTTAAAAATGGCATCATGATGCTGCCTGATGGTAGGATCATAATTTGTTCAGTCAATCTCTTAGTGAATGTTTTGCCGATTTTTGTTGTCACAAGAGGTACTGCAATAAAAAACTTTTTGTATGTTATTTCATAGCTTTTTTTTTTTTTTTTTTTTTTTTTTTTGCTAGACTGTCTTTGGTATGGAACTCTACGAGGGGATTATTGACTCAAGGGCCCAGGCATATATGTTATTTGCTTAAGTGCAGCTAGAGCTTTTTCTGCAGTGGCTGATACCAGTGTGCATGCCCACAGCCGTGTGTGAGGGTGGCCCCCAGATGTTCCCAAGGCACTTGTCTGAGTTGAGGGATTTTTATTTCATTTGACGAATGAGAAATTATAGTGCATCTAAAAACTTTTATTTTTTATGCATAATGTTGTGTGTATTTTCATGTGTTTTTAAACCTTTTAGATCTTTTTTATTTTTATTCGTATGTATGATCTGTTCATATCGTTTGCTTATTTCAAAAATCAGAATGTTAGTCTTAACTGTTCTATCCATTTTTTTTTTTTTTTCAGAACCGGGGATTGAGCTCAGGCCCTTGTGCTTGCCAGGGAAGCACTTATTCCACTAAGCCATCTCCCTGGCCCCTGTTCTATCCATTTTTATAACTTTTCCTATGT